TACTTCTAGAGAAACTATAGGAATGTTTTAATAAGGGAAATTCCCAGATAAAGAAATTTAGGATTTTTATGTCAAAATTGAAGTAAGCAAAGCTAGACGATTTAGAGTCTAGAACAATTTTATTGTGAAATTATCAAGGATATTGTTGTTTTGATTTTAAGATGAGAGATTGTCATTAATTTTTTTGAAGAAATGTTGGAGGCGATAATATTGAATGTTGGGGTAGATTTTGGAAAGATGAAAGAAAGTATTTGTAAGCAGTGTTGAGTATCGAGTTGGAAAGTTAAAATAAAAAAAGCATTTGAGAAAGGTAAAGAAATTTTATTTGGAAATTGAGAAAAGCATAGGTTGAACAAAATAGCAGCCAGGAGAGTTGGGCTGAGGAGCAAAGACATGAGCAGGAAAGCATAAAAAAGGTAAATCAGACAACATAAAGGAAAGTTGAGCACTTGTGTGAAGATAGCTCCCGGAGCTAGCTCCCATTTCCAGCTCCCACCTCCCACCAACAAGCCCAATTCACACAGTACCACTATTTTTAATTATCAGAGTAAAAGACTGCTGTGCATATGATCATCACTCTGCTTGTTACATATTAAACCAAATTACGATACCTTCATTACTTATACAGGGTGTAACAAAAAGTTGTATAGTATATTAAACCGAAGTTTCTGGGATCGAAAATAAGCCAATTTAATGTAACTTGATTATATAAAAAAGAATAGTAAAAAAATTACAGGGTGTTAAAGTAGACATTTTAGAAGTGATGTTTTACTCTTACTCTAAAACGGTTTAAAATATTTTTATGACTTTTCTACTCAAAATATGGTAAAAACATACAAAATAAAAAATTTAAAAAAAAAGTATTTTCAAGCGAGTGTTTGATTTAAAATATTTTCGATCTTTTAAATCGTTTAAATTTTAGCTATGAAACTATGACATTACATACTTGAAACCAAAGCTAAAACCGTTGAACCAGTCAGCGGCATATGAGCTGCTTTTTAAGCCACCAAACGGGTTTAAAATAAATTTTATACTACCTATATTTAAAGTGACTTCATTAATTAATAGATGACAAAAATTGGGTGTAGGTGTAATAGCGGTTCCGCTAAAAAAAAGTATAGTACCGAATTATAAACAATCTATAGAACGTTTTGTCAATTTTTTTTAAACATCGGTGATTTCTGTATATACTCAATACAATAAAGAACCAGCGCCAACACAAACTTTTCAAAAATATGGAGTCATACGAAAAGTAAATAAATAAACGAAAGACGAATCCTTGAAAAATCTATAATAAAATAAAAATAATAATGATAAAAAAAAAAGAGTACAAAAGAGGAATTTTGGAAATATTATAATAAATCATAACTACAAAAATCAGCTTTGAGACACGATCGGAACTAAAACAATAATTAAAGCCTATATCCTACTATTTACAGTAAAAATTTCAACTTCCCAAATATACGGCATCATAGTCATACGAATAAAAAATAAAGAGAAAAAAAGGTGAATTCTTGGAAAAATTAAAATAAATCATAACTTAAAAAATCAGCTTTGAGACACGATCGGACCTAGTACAATAAATTAAGCCATTGTCCTACTATTTACAGTAAAAATTTTAACTTCCCAAATATACGGCGTCATACGAATAAAAAAATAAAGAGTAAAAAAGAGGAATTTTTGTAAATATTATATTAAATTATAACTTCAAAAATCAGCTTTGAGACACGATTGGAAATAGTACAATAAATAAAGCCATTGTCCTACTATTAACAGTAAAAATTTCAACTTCCCAAATATACGGCGTCATATGGATAAGAAAAAATAAAGAGAAAAAGGTGAATTCTTGGAAAAATTAAAATAAATCATAACTTTAAAAATTAGCCTTGAGACACGATCGGAACTAGTACAATAAATAAAGCCATTGTCCTACTATTTACAGTAAAAATTTCAACTTCCCAAATATACGGCGTCATACGAATAAAAAAATAAAGAGTAAAAAAGAGGAATTTTTGTAAATATTATATTAAATTATAACTTCAAAAATCAGATTTGAGACACGATTGGAAATAGTACAATAAATAAAGCCATTTTCCTACTATTTACAGTAAAAATTTCAACTTCCCAAATATACGGCGTCATTTGAATAAGAAAAAATTAAGAGAAAAAGGTGAATTCTTGGAAAATTTAAAATAAATCATAACTTTAAAAATCAGCCTTGAGACACGATCGGAACTAGTACAATAAATAAAGCCATTGTCCTACTATTTACAGTAAAAATTTCAACTTTCCAAATATACGGCGTCATACGAATAAAAAAGAGAAATATTTGGAAAAATTAAAATAAATCATAACTTCAAAAATCAGCATTGATACACGATCAGAACTAGTACAATAAATAAAGCCATTGTCCTACTATTTACAGTAAAAACTTCAACTTCCCAAATATACGGCGTCATATGAATAAAAAAAATAAAGAGAAAAAGATGAATTCTTGGAAAAATTAAAATAAATCATAACTTTAAAAATCAGCCTTGAGACACGATCGGAACTAGTACAATAAATAAAGCCATTGTCCTACTATTTATAGAAAAAATTTTAACTTCTCAAATATACGGCGTCATATGAATAAAAAAAAATAAAGAGAAAAAGGTGAATTCTTGGAAAAATTAAAATAAATCATAACTTATAATTATTGTACTAGTTCCAATCGTGTCTCAAAGCTGATTTTTGAAGTTATGATTTATTTTAATTTTTCCAAAAATGCATCTTTTTTTTTCTTAATTTTGTATTCGTATGACGCCGTATATTTGGGAAGTTAAAATTTTTACTGTAAATAGTAGGACAATGGCTTTATTTATTGTTATATTTCCGATAGTGTCTCAAAGCTGATTTTTGAAGTTATAATTTAATATATTATTTACAAAATTTCCTCTTTTTTACTCTTTATTTTTTTATTCGTATGACGCCGTATATTTAGAAAGTTTAAACTTTTACTGTAAATAGTAGAATGAAGGCTTTAATTATTGTACTAGTTCCGATCGTGTCTCAAAGCTGATTTTTGAAGTTATGATTTATTTTAATTTTTCCAAAAATGCATCTTTTTTTTTCTTAATTTTTTATTCGTATGACGCCGTATATTTGGGAAGGTAAATTTTTTACTGTAAATAGTAGGACAATGGCTTTATTTACTGTACTAGTTCCGATCGTGTCTCAAAGCTGATTTTTGAAGTTATGATTTATTTTAATTTTTTCAAAAATGCATCTTTTTTTCTTCTTAATTTTGTATTCGTATGACGCCGTATATTTGGGAAGTTAAAATTTTTACTGTAAATAGTAGGACAATGGCTTAATTTATTGTACTAGGTCCGATCGTGTCTCAAAGCTGATTTTTTAAGTTATGATTTATTTAAATTTTTCCAACAATTCACCTTTTTTTCTCTTTATTTTTTATTCGTATGATGCCGTATATTTGGGAAGTTGAAGTTTTTACTGTAAATAGTAGGATATAGGCTTAATTTATTGTTTTAGTTCCGATCGTGTCTCATTGCTGATTTTTTTAGTTATGATTTATTTTTATTTTTCCAAATATTTCTTTTTTATTCTTTATTTTTTTATTCGTGTGACGCCGTATATTTAGGAAATTGAAATTTTTACTGTAAATAGTAGAGCAATGGATTTATTTATTGTACTAGTTCTGATCTTGTCTCAAAGCTGATTTTTGTAGTTATGATTTCTTATAATATTTCCAAAATTCCTCTTTTTTACTCTTTTTTTTTTATCATTATTATTTTTATTTTATTATAAATTTTTCAAGAATTCGTCTTTCGTTTATTTATTTACTTTTCGTATGACTCCATATCTTTGAAAAGTTTGTGTTGGCGCCGGTTCTTTATTGAATTGAATATATACAGAAATCACCGATGTTTAAAAAAAATTGACAAAACATTCTATAGATTGTATATAATTCGGTACTATACTTTTTTTTAGCAGAACCGCTATTACACCTGCACCCAATTTTTGTCATCATTAATTAATGAAGTCACTTTAAATATAGGTAGTTTAAAATTTATTTTATAGTTTCATAGCTAAAATTTAAACGATTTAAAAGTTCGAAAATATTTTAAACCAAACACTCGCTTGAATATACTTCCATTTTTTTAATTTTTTATTTTGTATGTTTTTACCATATTTTGAGTAGAAAAGTCATAAAAATATTTTAAACCGTTTTAGAGTAAGAGTAAAAAATCACTTCTAAAATTTCTACTTTAACACCCTGTAATTTTTTTAATATTCTTTTTTATATAATCAAGTTACATTAAACCGGCTTATTTTCGATCCCAGAAACTTCAGTTTAATATACTATACAACTTTTTGTTACACCCTGTATAAGTAATGAAGATATCGTAATTTGGTTTAATATGTAACAAGCAGAGTGATGAGCATATGCACAGCAGTCTCTTACTCTGATAATTAAAAATAGGGGTGCTGTGTGAATTGGGCTTGTTGGTGGGGGGTGGGAGCTGGAAATTGGAGCTAGCTCGGGGAGCTATCTTCACACAAGTAATTGAGCAGATCAGAGAACCAATAGGAGCAGAGCAGCCAGGGCAGAGAAGAAAATCAACAGCAGAAGCAGGAACAGAACAGCCAGGGCAGAGAAACAGAAGATTTTTTTTTAATTCAACTGATTTTTAATTATTTTTATACAAAATTTATAAATTTTCTAGATTTTGAACCCGCCCAGTTTTGAGATTTGGTAATTTTAAAATATTTTTGGAAATCCATATACTGGGTGTTTCCATAATAGCTTATATATTCTCTTAACCTTTCTATAGAAGAAATTAAGGGCTTTGGCCCATAAATAAATATCAATTTATTACGTAAAAAGCAATTTCAGATAAATTTGTATTAGTAAAATTTACTCAAAATGGACTCATGCTTCCAATATTATATGAAATTATGCAATAGTTTTTCCTAAAAATGTAAAAGAAAATAATTACCTTGCACCGGTATTTTGAGTACGACTACTCCTCTCAGACCCAGCCAAATCCACAACCCTTAATTGGGAAACAGTTAAAAGATTCTTCTCTGGGATAATTGGTTTTCCATCAGCATTAACTGGCAACTTTTCCAACTGAGCAATCCTTATATTGAATACGGAATGACTGCGACTCGATTCAGAATTCAGACTAGTATATGCCATTTTCTTTCTTTTCTGGCCGATAATAAATAATTCAAAGGCTTCTTGCGCTGTCTTAACTTCTACTTCCACTACACCATTAACATACATGTTACAATTGGGGTCTTCTCTTAATATTTTGTTTTGTAAAGTTTTCCCATTATTAGACTCATCTAGTAAATCATATACATTGTTATTGTATATCTCGATATACGAAATAAACACAGCAAATGCATTATTTTCGTTAAACACTGGGATCATTTTACCGTTATTAATAAAGAATTTTTCTCTGTTTAGTTTTTTTACATTTCCCATGTTTTTTGATCTATTTTCAGCTAATCTATCCATAGAGGCATCTTCTTCTGTTTGAATTTCAAATCCGTTCATCCTATCAGATTTTATAATAAATTTTGGAGTTTGTAAGTCGCCAATAGAGTTAAAAAGAGTATCAATGCACATAGGTATTAATCCTGGATTATTATGATCCCCTGTCAATGTATACGTTTTTCCTGAACCTGTTACCCCATATGCAAATAACAAACCGTTTTTTCCTTTCAACAAATCTGTTAAAAGCGGGTATCCAATATGATCAAATATTTCCGTTTGAGATGCATAAGCTGTAAAGATATGTTTAAATTTGTAAAACACATCTCTTCTTATTCCTTTAGATTCATTAGAAATACATATTTCTTGGGGAGATAAAAGTGTCATACATGAATGAGAATCAACATTTTCTTGGAGAGGACGTAAACGGCAAAACACGTATACAGGATCCTTATCTATATCAGAACTGGAAGAAGATACCACTGTCTTTTCTCTTCTTATTTTCCTCGGGGTTGGAGTAAACTTTGTAGCGGAAAACATAATACAACAAAAATGTACTTACTATGTACTTTCAATCTTATTCTTAAAAGCAGTCAGAATCAGAAACGGTGAACCATGGAGGACGGTGAACGATTAACCCATGGAGGAAGGATTATGATTAACCTTTAAATTTGAAATTAAAAACCGTTTATGACAGCAGACGGAAGTACTGTCAGAATTTGAATAACGGTCACAAATCATAGAACACTAACCGACCTTCAAAGTAAAGAAGTCCCTGCATATGACTGTCTAGTGTTTCCGGTTTTCAGTGACGTACATAAAAATTATTTAAAAATATATTTTCAGAACTTTCACACCTCAGAGTAGTACAGAGAGGACAGTAAACAATTTTTTTGTCGCCTTGATATCGCATGAAAGATTCTAATTAGAGAGAAATAGATTAATATCTCTATATCTATTTTTCCAGTTATTTTTAGACCATTTTTTTAAGTTTTTACTTAAATTCGTTTAAGTATGGTGGTATTAAAAGTGATTTGTAGGGTTTATTTTATACTAGGAAAAGACTTGTGTTTTATGTGATTTTAAATATAAAAGAGGAAGTGTGGTTACGTTTCACTCGTTAATATATTATTTCTTACCGAAGAACATGGGCGTCGTTTTAGAACAAAAAAGGAAAATAAAATATGCATATAAAAAAAAATAAAATTATTATTAGTGTTCTAAAATATGAATTAAAAGAAACTTATGGTTAGAGGCACTTGAATGGACTGAAATGTTAGAAGTTGAACGAATATATTACATTTACTCAATGCACTTTTTAGAGGACGGTTTTGCTGCAACAAATATATTTATAAGTTTGTACGTTTCTAAATAATAAAATTTAGGTTTTAGATCATACACTACATTTTATGAAGAATCACTGTTATTCTTAAAATAAATAATAAAAAAGTTCCACATGATTCCAACTCAAGTAAACATACTGTATTAAATAATCTACCTATATATCAATGGGACAAATAACTCTAAAGCTCATAGACGGCGATACTGACATGGCATGTCTCTGACAAATTCACCTTTTTATATAAGGTACCTACTTTAAATAGTTAAAAGAAAAAGAGGATATTGAGAGCTGTGAAAAAAATTTATATTCCTCATTGGTTCCAGGACTGACTACTGTTGCTATACAAGCAGTTAATGTAACAGTTTTCCAAGATAATCTACAATTGAATCGGTCATCTCAAAAATCTCGGAAGTTAACGTTCGGTAAAATTGGGTTTATGTATCCCTCGTATCTACATACAGTTGTTAAAATTATGAATGAATGCTGATTTTGTTTAGTCTCGTAAGTAATTTTGTAGTAGTTGTAATTTTTATACCTACTAAACTACCGTTGGCCCGCAGGTCTTTCAGTTTGTAATGTAAAACGCATCATGTTCAATCGAATTTTCACAGAAGAGGCTAGTGAAAATTTAAAACGAGTAGCTGAAAAATGAAAATTCGTTTTAAAAAAAGCGTAAGCCCCCCAAAAGGTACAAAAAGGGTGAATTGGTACTATAGAAAGGTGGCGATTCTTGTAGAAAGAGGGGCGTAAATAATAAGTTAAGTAGAAAGTTTTCAGGTTCGTACTTAATTGAAAAGATATTTGATAACGATAGGTACAAAATAAGAAGTGTAAGGGGTATGAGAGTGGTATAAGAAATTTAGTACATTGGGAAATGATATTGAATCATATATTGATTCAGATACTAATGTACGAGATAGAGATGATTTAGTTGAACTATTATATAGAAAGTTAATAGTATTTTAATGCATGTATTTAGTTTGATGGTTGGCATTTAGGCTTGTTTTTACCTCACATCGGCAGTCGGGGACAGGACGACTATAAAGGTAACCTGTGAATTTAGGTAAAAAGTTGACATCGGCAGTCTGGCAGGACGATTATAAAGGTAACCTGCGAGGCTGTGAGCTAGACCATAATGGGGGCCGTCCAAGGGCGGCTTAAAATGGACCTGTGTTAAATGTATAAATTAAAATTGCATTAATAAAGGGAGCGTAGAAGGATACAAGGGCGTAGATAAGGCGGTAATGGGGGTAATTACCCCCCCTCCCAAGCCATAGTCAACATCAATATTTTTTTAAACGTTATATTAAACAAAAATAGAGAAATAAAATAAATACAATGAAACAAAGAGTTTCTCTAACATTGTCATCTAAGATAATAATATTCCTGCAAATTGAAAATTTATATACAGGGTCCTATTGGTTCGCAATTGTTAAATATTTCAATTTGTTATTGACAAGCAAACAAGTTTTAATAAAAGTTATATGGATTTGAAAAATACATATTTTAAAAATATTTTTGGATATACAGGGTGTTGCGTTTTTGCCTGACAAATAAAAATGTATGTTTTTTAAATAGAACACCCTATATTTTATTTTATTTTTAGAATGGCTTTTAAATATTACAGTATTACCTAATAATTTTTATTTTAAATTAGAGAATGATGCAGAGCCCAAATTAAATTATCATAATTTAGGTAGGTTTAGATTAATTTCAAAATTGTTTAATATACAGATTTATAAAATATTAAACTAACGAATAGAGGTGATGCAACTGGTTTATTCTATACAGAGTGTTTTGAAACATCTCAAATATTGCTAATTTTAAGTTCAATTTACTCAATTTTTTTAAATTTGCTCATGTAACAATACCAATGTGTTAGTCAATAACACATATACAGGGTGTCCCATCAGTGCATAATTGATCGATAGCTGTTTTATTATTAGAAATACGAAGAAATGTTTAATATAAAAGTTGTATGACCATATTTAACAAATATTCCTAAATATACAGGGTAGTCCATAAACGAGGTGGTGATCAAATCTAAACTTTTTTAAAACAAAACACCCTCCAGGTATATATTTGATTGTTTTTACATCGTCAAACAATTTTAATTGACTTCATTTGCCATGTTTCAAAACACTCTATATAAAATAAATCAGTTCTATCACCTTGGAAATGGAATAGTCTACAAAGATCAACCAGAAGTCCCTTTTTTGTGCCAAATGGCGTGATAATTATTTATTAATCGTTTTATGAAATGTAGGGTGTTTAAAATTTTTTGAATAAAATTGTATCTTTAGCCCTTCATTCTACGCCAATGGGTTATGGTAATTTATCGAAATAGTGTGTTAACTAATAATAACGATTACCTATCATATACATATTTTTAAGTTAGTCTTTACTGTAAGGGAAGATATTTAGAGAATATATATTTATGAAATTTGCTTTACCCTGTAGAATGAAAACTGGGACGTTTATAGGAAAATTATATTTAGCTTTTCTTTATAATTGATTAACATCTACAAATCCTCAAAATTTTGTTACTTTATTCTGAAACACCCTGTATAAATATATAAAAAATTAAAAACTTCATTATATAACTTACTCTTTTTTCTGGAAATACACATATGAACTCTAGACGTTGCATTGGTACCATATTCCAAGATAACACGCTGCGCATTCACCAATAATGTGAAAAGTGTTACCCCCCCCCCCCCCCAAGAAAACAACCTAGCTACGCCCTTGGAAGGATAAAGTCTCAAAAGTTCTGTTTTACAGGTATCTTCTATGCAGTGATTGGAAATACGGAAGCGGACTGAAGGTATTCCCGAGGGCGGGAAAGATCCAGGATGGCCGAATGTTATTTAGATTTTAGACACAAGAAAAAAAATACATATCCGTCATCATTATAAAATATATTTAACTAGCTTTAGTCGACAATGAAACCCTCACGTAATATGATATTATGTCTGTGATCCAGTATTGGTTATCGGTGAGGTCCAGGTCCGATTAGAGGAGGGGGTAGCCGGGACCAATTCCCGGAACCCGGGCTCAAACGGGGGCCCGGCAGCGCTATAAGGGGGGCGGCCCGACAATAGGGTTTTCTGTTTCCGCACGAGAAATTCGATATAACAAGAGAAAGGGGAAGAGATGTGATTGAAAGTTGGAGGAAAAGTTTTAGTTAAGAGGAGTTTTTTTTCGGTAGAAGAAGTAATTGAGGTAGGGAGAAAATTTATTTTCTTCGAGACGAGCACTTTTTTTTAGAAAACGAAAAGTTTTTGTCACAGGGCCCGATGTAGAGAATTGTCCCGGGGCCCGACCTGGCTCTCGGCGGCCCTGGTGAGGTGTCAAGTAATTTAAGTTAATGGTTCTTTTAAAATTAAACGAAAGATGTGAAGGCAGAATAAGTTTGGTAGTTTTTGGAGATTTTAGTAGAAGTCGAAATATATTGCTAGAACTGTTCAGACAGTTTCTTTTTAAATAAATAATTTCTTCGAGATAAATCCGTCTTTAATTTATAGTTTTACCAACAGTTTTAAAGCAAAATTTGGCAGCATGGAATTGATAATTTTGGTTTAAATAAAAAAGGAATATAAGGCTCGGTGGACTTTAATTCCATTTTCGAAGTAGGTTTTCAGCGGTTGCTGTAATAATACGCAATAGAGCAAAAATGTCGAAAAGAAAACGATAGTGACCGTGTTCAGTTTATTGTGTTGTGTGAGAGATATGGCTTCGGACGGTGTCCATTTGCCACAGAATGTTTAATTTCACGGATTTAAGAAAATGTTCAGTGATCTGCAAGCTTTATTTCCATCATATTCATGTTAATCAAGTAAAAAAAGTTAAGGCGGCAGTTTAATACGACCTCCTCGGCGATCGGGAACCGCTACATATCTCATATTCGAACCCGTCATAACAGCAATAAACTAAAAATGTTCTCAAAACTATTTTCCCTAATTTGAACGGAAGCTTCTGCTACTGAGTCGCGATTAGGGATGTTGCGATACTACTGATATGATACTGGTATCGATACTTTTCTTTCGATACCGGGTAATTTAGTACCCGATACTTTGCTTTCGATACTTTACTCATATGGGTACTACTTTTGTTTCGATACTACTACTTTTGTTTCAATAATTTTACTACAAAATGTATATTGTAGGATCACTTTATGGTATGATATGTCGGGCGTGTACCCTATGACCTTTTTTTTTTTTGTTTTGGTTGTTCTGTACTCTTTCCGATATAGGTATCGATACTTTCGTTCCGATACCCTTTCGATACCGGTATCGATACTTTGGTTCCGATACTCCTTTCGATACCGGTATCGATACTTTACTGGTATCGCAACATCCCTAGTCGCGATGAACGCATTTTGTGGACACGACGGATATATAGCAGTGATGCCGATACATATTATAAATCTC